CGGCCCTTAACCGCTTCCAGGGAGGGAGCATCCACAACTTCCCTGGGCTACCTATTCCAGTGTCTCACCACCCTCAGAGTAAAGAATTTCTTCATAAATCTAACCTCTTTCAGTTTAAAACTGTTACACCTGATCCTGTCACTACACTCCCTGATAAAGAGTCCCTCCCCATCTTTCCTGTAGGCCCCCTTTCGATACTGGGAGGCTGCTATAAGGTCTCCCTGGAGCTTTTTCTTCTCCAGGCTGAACAACCCCAACTTTCTCAGCCTGTCTTTGTAGGAGAGGTGCTCCAGCCCTCATCATCATCTTTGTGGCCCTCCCTCTGGACTAGCTCCAACAGGTCCATGTCCTTCTTACGTTGGGGGTCCCAGAGCTGGACACTGTACTCCAGGTGTGCTCTCGTGAGAGTGGAGTAGAGTCACCCCTGCCTCGACCTGTTGGCCACACTTCTTTTGATGCAGCCCACGATGCAGTTGGCTTTCTGGGATGCGAGCGCACATTGCCGACCACATTGCCAGACCATTGTCCAGCTTCTCATCAACCAACACCCCCAAGTCCTCCTCAGGGCTGCTCTCAATCCATTCTCTGCCCAGCCTGTATTTTTGCTTGGGATTGCCCCAACCCATGTGCAGGACCTTGCACTTGGCCTTGTTGAACTTCATGAGGTTCACATGCACCCACTACTCAAGCCTGCCCAGGTTCCTCTACATGGCATCTCTTCCCTCCAGTGTGTCAACTGCTACACACAGATTGGTGTCATCACATGTATGTTGAATATATGAGTATGTTGAACATAAAATACTTAATGAACGAAATAGCATGATTTAAAGGTTGTTCAACATCAAATCAAAAATGTCCTCTGTGGTAAATGTAGTACCTATAAACATAGTTGCATTTGGGCTAATGGGGAAGCCTGTGCTGTGCTTCAAGAATCACTTAATGAAGATGCCTTACCTCCTGTTCTTATTCTTAAATCACAGGAAATCATTAACACTAGTGCTAAGCTTTGCAGTCAGGGAGTTGAGGGCTGGCACCACTGCCACTTACATACCAGCGTTTCTAAAACACATTTGATATCAAGTGAAAGGTTCACCATCACCTCCATTCTGATACTTCTCAGCAAGGTAAATTAGACTGCACTTAGCATTGTGTGGCTATGTTTCTTTAGGCTAGATTTCTTGAGCTAATCATATTTAGATACACATTTCAACAGCTCTGGTATAGATGTTCACATGGACTTGGGAGGCTTTAATTGAGATGAGCTGGAATGCTCAATCTGGATCAGGCTATTAAGCATCTTCATATTAATAGCTTCAATATAATAATCTTATTATCTGTCTACAACAGCAAATTCATACATGCTTTACACTTACTGTTTATTTTCTGATTGTGGTTTAAAAAGTACTTTGAAGAAATATATGAAATATTGTATGCATGATATCAACTCTTTGGGGTAACGTTTCCTGTCTTCTAATGTAAGGTTTTTCACAGTGAGGCGGATGAGAAAACTTAGCATTTCCTATTTTGATTCCTTTCATTATTTTCTTTTGCAGGCAGGAAGAATAAGGGCTGTAGGAATTGTGGGGATTGAAAGGAAATTAGAGGAAAAAAGAAAAGAGACTGACAAAAACATTTCCGAGGTAAATACTACTGAAGTTTCAAGGTCAACCACCTGTCTGACCCATTTACATTCATTCACACTCTCTTTTAGGGGCAGCTGAGACTACTTATTGTTTTTGTTGAGAAATCTGAATTGATCAGGAGTGTATAATTTATTTACTTTGTTTAACTGGCTTTTCAATATATCTAAAGATACTTCATTAAAACCATTCCTTTCAAGAAGACTGTTCTTTGAAACTAATGGTGTGTATTTATAAAATTAATTTTGGTAGAATTAGAAATCTGACTTCAGTGACTTTTCATTAGGGGACGCAGGACAAAAATGCATCTGCAGAGAGTGTCTATGACGAGTTTGGGGTTTTTTTCCTTCCATTTTTGGGTTTGGTTTTTTTTTCAGCTAATTTTCATTTCAATTGATAATATATATCAAGAAGAACACACTAATCCAAGTGTCTGCACATAACTGTGGTGAAGTTAGGTCTTCATCTTATAAATATTCCATTTTTAAATGTTAGATTTAGGCTTACAATTACAGTAAAATGTTATGCAGTCCAGGCATTGGCAAGATGTTACAAGTACCTTTGTGAAATACTTGGGCTAGATGGAGACCATCCTTTTCCCTAGAAACAGCACAACAGTTGAATTCCAGATATCAATACTGATGGACAACAGCAGCAATTAATTTCTTCATATACAACTGGGAGCAATATCAAAAATAGTCTCGTTCTGTCTTGGTAGTAGAGATTAATACAGAAGTACTCATAAACTACATGCAACAGATTAATTCTTGTGGCAAAGCTTTATGGGATTCAGCGTGCCACAACAAAAAGGGGATTCACTGCTCTGACACATAAGAAAATCATAGAATCGTCTAGGTTGGAAGGGACTTTCAAGATCACCAAGTCCCACCATCAACCTAACACTGCCAAAACCCACCACTAAACCATGTCCCTAAGCACCATGTTCATAGGTCTTTTAAATACTTCCAGGGATGGCGATTCCACCACTTCCCTGGGCAGCCTATTCCAATGTTTGATAACACTTTCGGTGACGAAATTTTTCCTAATACCAAATCTGAACCTCCCCTGGCATAACTTGAGGCCATACCTTTGTAGGCCACATGCTGTTTCAGATACTGGTAGCGTTAAACTTTTTTCTTTCTGTTTATGGGGAATGTAATGAATGAAGTTCTGTGTGTAGTTCAAAAGGTATTGTGGTTACATGCGTGTGTATATAGTTCAAAAGGTATTGTCTGGTTATTTTTTCCTTTAGTAGCTTTGTCAGGGAGTAAAAGAAATCAATTTATATGTGTTGTATGAACGGCAGAGGAAAACCATGACTTGTAAAGTCCTGCCTTCCTCCAGCTTTAAATGTTATAAATGACTTAATTTAAAAAATGGTGCCCTGGCTTCCAGGAAAAGGCTTCCTGCATCTGCTGTTCACTGCTGATAAGAATCCAGTTCTTTAGCCTTTTGTTTATCTGAGGAAGTTCCTGTTAGGTGTGTGCACATTCCCCTTTGTTTCCAGGCCTGCCCTCTGTGAGTCAGGCAAAGGAGGAGTTAGACCCAGCATGCTGTTTATTTAGCTAAATCAAGTGTTCTTTTGATGAATGATGTTTTCATGCAGGTTATAGATTATATATATATATATTAGAAATAAGATGGGAAAAGCCTTGTTAGAAAACGTTTTGTTGATGTCATACAAGTACAGCAGAAGGACTTTGGTTTACACTAGGGATTGGGAAATCTATCATAAATTACTGAATTTGGCAGATTAGGAAGCAAGAAGAAATGCTCCAAAGAGAAGCTTTTGTTCTGATAGTGGTAGATTATTGTTATATGGTGGTATATTTTCTTTTCTCCCCGTGGACCTAGCTTTGTCCCACTTAATTTTGGAGACCTAACTTAGGTACCAAATGTTAAGAGGCTAGACTTCTCCAGTCAGTGGAGAAACACTGGCACCATTAGGAGGTATTCAAGTGAAAAGCAAACCCTGTCCCTTCCTGGAGGCATTTCTTCCTCTTCTTTGCATGTTGAATCTCAGACCAATAAGCTTCTAAATAAGGTGCCTAAATGTAGATGGGAACAATTGGATCTTCCTGCACAATTCTGCTAAAATGTGTCTTTCTACTGGGGAATCAGTCAGAATAAGGTAGGAATCCCATAGAAGCAATGGCTAGAAGCTGTAGGCAAGATATATCTCTGGTCATTTGCTTTTCTTCATTCTTTGTGGTTTATGGATTGTATAATTTTGATTTTAAGACCTGATATAAAACAGACATATCAACCAATTATATATATCATACGTTGTAACATACTCATCTAAAGGGATAGTGGGTCCTACAAATATTTTGGATAGGCGGACAAAGGCAGGTCACTGTATGCATGAAGCCGAATGCTGTAATTGTACTGATCTGCAGTGTCTGCTTTTCATTTCAGGCTTTTGAGGATCTTAGCAAACTAATGGAGAAGGTACGGCCTGTGTCACTTACTCTAGTGGACTTATGCTTGTTTTCTCAGTTTTAAGCGTGCTTTTCTCTGTTGAGCTGAAAGTTAACTTATCTATGTGTCTTGATAGGCTAAGGAAATGGTGGAGTTATCCAAGTCAATAGCTAATAAGATTAAAGAAAAGCAAGGTGACATCACTGAGGATGAGGTAAATGAATTTTGTTTCTAAAGTCAACCAAAATGTTCCTATGCAAAGCCAAAAGCTGTCAGTTTAATACACGTAGTGTTAATAAAGAACATTTCATGATTGGGATTTTTGTGGTTTAATTCTACATAAAATAAAAGTCACTTACTTGTTTGGTGTTAGCTTTTCTTTTGACCCTTTCTTAAAAGCAAAGATTTTACTGCGTTTGTGTAATTTTTTGTATTTTTGACCTCTGCTAGTTAAAAATAAATTGTATTAAGTCTTGTATTCTCTTTGCTAGTAATTAACTTGGTAGTAAACTGAATTGATTTATTCACCAAAACTGTCTTATAGTAATAAAATCAAAGACTTTTAAAAACCAGAATCAATCAGTAGCTAATGTACTAATTTATTTATTTATTTGTTCAGACTATTAGGTTCAAGTCCTATCTACTGAGCATGGGTATAGCTAATCCAGTTACTAGGGAAACATATGGATCTGGTACACATTACCACATGCAACTGGCGAAGCAACTAGCTGGAATACTGCAGATACCATTAGAGGTAAAGTACCTGATTTTTGCACCAGCATTCTCTGCGTTCTGCTGAATTTTCATGTAAATGTCTTTTGGCTATAGTACTGTGCCCCTTTTTAAAGTCTCAGATTTAGCAGCACAGCCACCGCATTCAGTGTTTGTGGAAGGAATATATATTCTGTTTCTAAATAAGAGATTTTAAATATAAGTAAGAATTTTTCTTTGGAGTAAAGTCATTTCAACTCCTAATTTGCGAAATATCAGTGATACTTAGAAAATCATACTAGCAGTATTCATCCCTTGCCGCAGAATATTACTTTTTTAAAGAAAAAGTGAAACTTTTTAAAGACTAAATACTTATATTTTCACTGCTTAAATATTACATGTTTTGCAAATATAGCCCAGAGTTAGTACATAGATTACTCCCCATTAGTAATATCTCATATTTTAATTTATCTGAAGCTATTGCAGAATTCAGGATTCTCACCAAACAGTTAGATTTCATGTTTCAACTTATAAGGCTATGTGTCTACTAAAAAGCATGCTTATTACAGTATTTTTGTGAAAGGTATCTGCTACCTACTATGATCAGAATGGAAAACTGAGTGTATCTGAAAAGTAAGAACGGTAAATTGATGACACATATAGTATATTGTATCCTTCTTCCTGTGACTTAATCTCTGCTTTAAAATCAAAGTAATTTACAGTCCTTGGATATAGTGTTTTGCATTTTAAAATGATTAGAGAAAGATGTAACAACTTACCTCTTATGCTAGAAATACATGGTATTGCCTGGGTAGTTTTTTTCATTAAGGTCCATCCATTTACCTGTGTAATCAGTCAAATGCAAGTTGAGACACTGTGTTTACTAGATTCATGCTATTTCTCTTACCAGTCTTGTGCTTAACACAGGAGCGAGGAGGGATCATGTCACTTACAGAAGTGTACTGTCTGGTAAATCGCGCACGAGGATTAGAGGTGAGAAATTTGTTTTATGAAATATTTTATCAAATGTACTTCAGCGGTAAGGTAATTAAAGAAAAAGGGTAAAAATATTCCCTACCAATTGCTTACTCTACCTGTCTAATAGCATGAAGTGATCAACTCTTTATTGAAAACAGGGTTTTTTACCTTTTTCCTTTTTCCTTCCATGTAATTTTTATATATTCTCTATAAGTTGTCATAATGTATGCTGCTTTTTATAATACCATATAAAAGGGAAAATCCATCCTTATCTGGAAAGAAGACTGAAAGGAGAGAAAATATGAAAGAATGGTAAATGGTGTGGTGTTGGGTTTTTTTTCCACAAAATATATCAATTCTTTCTGTAAATGGGGCAAGAAGGATTATTGTAGAACATGTAGTAAGGGAACAGAAAGGAGCACAGCAGCCAAGAAGACAGGCTGGACAACAGAAAGGAAGAAAATTAACAATATTGTGTAGCCTGGTATATTTTATAGCTGTAGTTATTAAAACTGTTTGTTTTGGTGTTATGCTGTATGCTTGAAATACAAGCTGTGAATAAATTTACTATTTTAATAGCTGCTGTCACCGGAAGATTTAGTAAATGCTTGTAAGATGCTGGAGTCACTGAAATTACCGCTAAGGTAAGAGCTTTACAGATGTATTTATAAAACACGGCACTCACAAGTCAGACCATGGTGCTTGGCTGACTTAATGTTTTACCTGCAGTAGATTTTTTCTTTTTTTTTTTTTTAAACAAAATCATCCTTTGATTAAAGCTTAAAAGATGCTGCTGCATGCACCAACATCAACTCTATATTAAAATACGAAGTTTTAACTATGGTTCACTTTGCTAGGAAGACAATATTCTTTTAACTTCCGATACCGTTTTTTCAGACTGGGAAAAGTGTTTAGCTAAGACCAGACATACGCCCTGCTCTTTTCAGTCTCTTCAAATTTTGAAGATGCTTTTAAAGTTAAGTTCATTTTACAGAGCTTTTTTCTTTTTTTTCCTTTTGTAGTGTGGTTATAGGTATGTATGCATTAGAAATGTGACCATAGGTGATGTGCCCAGGGTTTTTAGTTACTTTGATTCGCTCTTTTGATTTTAGGCTTCGGATATTTGACAGTGGTGTGATGGTGATTGAACTCCAGTCTCATAATGAAGAGGAAATGGTAGCTTCTGCTTTAGAGACAGTAAGTGTACTTCATTTCCTTCAGTGTTCTGACCGTGCTGGGGAAATTTAAACATATTAGACATAAAAACTTGAGGTACAGGATTTCCTTTTGAGGTTTTGAAATACAAAATATTCCGCTTCCAAATCTTCTAACAGTAATACTGAAATAGCACTTTTCATCTTCAAAGTGCTGCGCAGGCAATAATCTTAGTCATTGCTTTCTCCTTAAGGGATAAATCACTTTTCTATCTCTTTTCAAACTTTGTTAGCCTTCAGCCTTCCTCCACATCTTTTGCACTGTAGGATGACATTCATGACATGTATTTAGCACTTAATTTAACAGAAGTGGACTTCAGACACTGTACGCAATGTGCTTGAAGGCAGTGAAAGTAGCTCTTAAATGTTGATATAGGCAGTTGTTTGGTTTGAGTTTATTTCAGAAAGTAGCACATTGGATGTGCAACATCTTGTACTAAATCTGCTGTTGTGAAGAGTGCTCAGTTGGAGAGTAGCGTGTATAGAATTAAGCTAGCTTCATCAGGAATAAAAAATAGTATAAATTTCTCAGTGTGGTCAACTTTTGTGGTCTTGCTACCTCTGGATGTCCTGCTGTCCCATTGTTTGATGCATTTTCCTGTGTCTTTTTCAGTGGAATGTAATTTTTTGTTTTTCATAGAGTAAAGGCTGATTCAGTGTATCCAAAGTTAAACATCAAGGTCAAAGAGGACTTTGACTTGACAGTCGAGAAAAAGTAGAGCTGTCACAGACACCTTCTCACTTGATATATGAGGTGGACTCTTCAGTGGGTTTTACATGATTGTTACCGTATAGCTTTCTCTCATCAAAAAAAATTTTATATAAAGATATGTACATAGCTGTCTAAAAGATCACATCCTAAATTATCAAAACTAAAATGCTTAAATCATTCAATATATGTTAATCCTTTCAGTTTATTTTCTTATATTTACAGAATAATACCTAGTCCATTTTAAGTTTTTTTTCTGATTATTTTTGGTTTCTAATTAATTTGTTGCCTCAGTAAGACTGCTTATCTCTTTGAAAGGAAAGGAAAAACCTTTTCTTGATAACAAATGAGGTCAACTGCAAAAAGCAACAGATGGTTGATTTATTACTGAAGTGCCTTTTTTCTTTTATTTTCATAATATGAGACTTTGACTCCATAGAAAAATGTAAGGTAGAGGCTTTGAATGAGGAAGGCTAGCCCATAAGGGAAAGGGAAGATGAGATCAGACTTGTGGCCAGAAGCACCCTGTACTTAATGTATAATGTACAGTAACATGAAACTTCTGAGAAAAATTGAAAGGAAGTCACAGGGTTTCAGCCAGGAGAGAGATGTGGGTTTGAATGGCTGGTGAAGACAGGAAATGATAGGGAAGTCAAAGGAACCCGAAGTCACCCTTGATGAGAGGAGTGGTTTGGGAAAGAAAGGTAATTAATCACCCATATGCATATGAGATTGTATAGCTGACTTCCGTTAGTCGGATTTGATCACTTAGCTTCATAAAATCTCAAGTTAGGGCTAATTTAATCTGAGTTTCTGTAAAAAGGCTGCTATTGAGAATGCCGCACCATAGACTCCTTCCCACCCAGTTATGTGGGAAGCAGGAAATGGCAACTGCATCTGGATTCACAAGTTTACTTGAATCTGAAGCGGTGGAGAAATTGAAGAATTATTAATTTGTACGGTAATAAAACGTAATGTTTATATGGGAAATTCAATGCAGTAATAAGCCCTGACTTCATAGCTAATGTTTTAAGCATCCACATATCCAACCTGTGTGACAAGGTTTCATTTTAGCATGTATTAGCTAGTGTGGTGGAGACAGTGAGAATGAAGTTTTGAGTCCCAAGACTGAACTTTTATGTCATTTGAATGTGATGGTGGCTTTTTACTGATCCCACTAGAATGCCATAATCTAGGGTGGAGTATAAAGATTTTGGGATTTACTATGGATAGTGGGGATATTTTAAATCAACTCAAATTCTCCACCTCTATCTGAGATAACTTAAATTTCTAAATTGATCACCTGTCCTGAACTGCTGCCTTTTATTTCGTTGCTCAGGCTTTGCTGTTTGCAGAATCACTTAGTACAGTTGGGCTGTTTGACTACTGAGTGTGACCGTAGACTGCAGTCTGTGAGCTATTTTAATTTTTCCGTGTATTTTGTCCCAAGGCATCTTTTTAAAAAAATCTGAAAGAAAGGGTACCACATCATTTTTTTACAGATTTAACACTTTTCTTTGTTCCTCTTTTATACTTGACAATTTTCCCAGGACATGGAAAAGGCATTTTTAAGGGAAAATACTCATAATTATTTGTACCTTTTTAAAAGACAAACAGACTAGTTGCTGTCATGAGGGATTTGCTACCAATTTTTCACTTCACAAGGCTAGACCTGATTCAGTAGCTGAGAGAACTTCACTGTTCTTTTAATGCCATAGTTTGTTTATTTGTGTGTTTGTTTTTTGACAGGTGTCTGAAAAGGGTTCTCTTACAGCTGACGAGTTTGCTAAGCTGGTGGGGATGTCTGTTCTCTTAGCCAAAGAAAGGTAAGTAATAACCACTGTGTTTAATAATACCTTCATTATCATGTTGTCCTCAAGTAATACAGCACCTCTTCTTTTGCTTTTTACAGGCTGCTTCTTGCTGAAAAGATGGGCCATCTTTGCAGAGATGATTCAGTGGAAGGCTTGAGATTCTACCCAAATTTATTTCTGACACAAAGCTAATGTCGTTTGTGTACAATTTCTTACGTAACACCTGAACGTGAGAGCAGAGGGCAGAACCCTTCCAACAACTGACTTTAAAATTTTTATTCTGTTAGTGAACTGCAACAGTGATGGACATTGCAATGCTTTACAGTTCTCAGGTATTTCAAGTGCTGAATCCTCTTACGTGGAACTGAAAGGAAATAGGAGTCACCAAGTCGGAAGCATGTTAATTGTCTCAAGCCAGCTAGCTCATGTTTCAAGTTTTATTTGATGTGCTCTGTAGTTTCTCATTGTTAGAGAAGTCAGATGAAGATTCCACACAAGTGAAAGTGGAGAGACTATCCCTGTAGACTGCCATGAGGGTTGGCACCCAGAAGACAGGTTACTGCATACTCCAATTTGAGTTTGTTTATGTCTAGAGCAACAAAGCAGACAGATGTATCCGTAGCGATAAGAAAAGTGACTTCGGTGTATACTGAGGTATAAGAAACAAACCAGCGTAGAATAACCCCTTCTCCCTGAAGTGATGAACAGTTTTCTAAGAGAGGATCTTGGGCTTCTTATACTTTGAGACCAAAAGAACCTGCTGCAGGAGAGATTAACATATGTTATGTGACTCTAGAAAACACGGTGTTTATTTTGTCATGTCTTATGCTAATATCTCAGATAGAAGCATTGTTAGCACAGACTTCCTCCCTTCTCTTTCCTTGCCATCTTCCTTCCTGTCTCATTATGTTGCACTTTGGGTGCCCTTTCTCTGTCGTCTCTATGTAGCAGAGTAGAGTAGCCTCCTGCCACTCTACCAGACTCTGTGCTTTAATGTGCTTGGTTTTCATCGTGTACTTCTTTGTTCGTTTCATCAGCCTGTTACCTGTTTTGGAGAGACCGTTCATTTGCTTATATCTCACGTGCAAAAATTAATACGCTTTCATTATTGAAGGAAGGAAGAAGAACATCTCCTTGTGTTTAATAGTCATGAGGTATTGTATTGTTTGGTATTCCAGTGTTCACATGGAATGCAATTTGATAGTCTCAGCTTTCATAACTCCAGTGGAGTTGTTACATTACTTGAAGAGCTGTTGGTGTGGTAATAATGGTAAATGGATGTTTATGATCCACGTCACTTAAATTTTTGGCATTTTCAAATGACGACTTTTAATAAATAACGAAATTCATCCAAGGTATGGGCAAGGACAACATATACGTAACTGCACTGTGGTTGTAATGGCCAAATTCACATTACAAAAAAAGAAAAAAAAGGCTTTTAAGAGCCTGAAAATATCTTCAGGACTATTTTGGTGTTACCATAGCTTGGACAAGCATTAAGAGCCTGCCCATAACGCATTCAGTGCAGAGATCCTTACAGTGATGGTGCTTTTGGTTCTAGGATGCTCATTTAGATCTGGGGAATTGTGTCCTCTTATCCTTGTCATGATCAAACTTTTATGCAGTGCTTTCTTTAGGGCAGTTTTCCTCTGTTTCATGAAGGTGCTAAAACTAATATATTTGTCATAGCTGAAGGTTCCACACTGTTCTGCGTTAACTATCTAGTATCATCTCTTCAGGAGCCTTACGGCTTGCTGCTTTTCTTCATCCTCCCCACAATCCACAAAAGAGGTCTATGTGAGGTACGCCAAGCATCATGCGTCTAAGGAGGGACTGAAAAGTGAGAAATTCAGAAGCAACAAGCTGATTTATGACAACTGTTTCTTTTGTCCAATACCCAAACCTGTCAATGGAGACCAGTGGTTCATGGGCCTGAACCTCTTCCCACAAGGGGGCATGTCTTCTGCAGAAAGAACAAGATCAGAAAGGAAATGCCAAGTGTAAACTCCCAGCCTCTGTTGCTCCAACCCTGAACATTTCATTATCTTAATTAAGCAATAACAGTACAGCCTGTTTAGAATGATGGTACCTTCTCGAGCTTTTCTTTCCCATGATTTTGCCTCGTCTTTTTTTTCTACAGGGAAGAAATCTATAGGGCGAATTGTATAGCTGGTTTAGAATTTAAACATGAGAAAATGACTACTAGACAGTGACAAAAATTAAAAGTTTTTCTTAAATAGACTGTTCTGTTGTTTTTTTTCCTTCCTGAATGTTTTGGGCAGCTTTAAAATCTTTACACATCAAAATCTTGTGATTCCATGGGGCAGGTTTTTAAAGAACATATTTTTGCTCTCCCATTTTGTACCTAAAAGGGTGCAAGATAGTTTTGATCAAAAATTACAAGGCAGAATTAAATTTATTTAGAATGCTCTAGTTCTGTTGCTGAGTAGCCTGTGACCCATGCCAGCCAGAATTGCAGAACTACAGATGTCTACGCAAGCACTAGCTTCATGAGAGATCCACTCTGAGTCCGAGCCAAGCATATATCCCGTGCTAGCGCTGGAAAGGCGTTTGACACATATGAAGGCGTTTTCCCAGCTGAAAGACAACAGAAATGATGGATCTGATACCATACTGAGTGCCAGCGCCAGAAGAACAAACGGAGTGACATGTTTAGGGGTGTGCAGTATCATGGTAGTACATCACGCTGTCCTAGACTGTCATTGCCCAGTCCTCTTACTATTGGTAGTACCAACAGAAAATGCATTTACTGTATTGAAGCAGGATTGTCGAAGAGAGGAAAATACAGGAGTTGGCATTCCCACAGATCATTCTAGTTTAATACAGGAGGTGCCTATATGAACCTTTCGTGTTTTGATTATTCCTAGAATATTTGTATCATGATACATGAACATTATCTCATTTTGCCAGGGCTGCCCAATTATACAGTCCTCCGAACAAAGGTTTGTAACAGAGGTCTGTTCAAAAAGTGCTCTTTTATGGAGCAGTCTTAAATTATTATTATGTTTTTCATTTTGAGAAGACAGGATTTTTTTATACTTCTGACAGGAAAAAAACGCTGCTCAGGAATCTGTACATCTTTTCCATTTCTCCTTTGCCTTTGTTTTCAGGAGGATTATATTCAGCCTATGGAAACATGGATCTAATGTGAACCATATTTCTGAAGTGCAAACATTTTTTCTCTCTGAAAGATAGATTTGTATGTGCATTTGGAAGTCTTCAGAAGTGTATCTTTAATAATCACTAGTGGTTGCATATTGATTAGCTAAACTCTTCAGTGCTCAGTTCTTCTAACCAGACTATTATAGCTTGTCCAAAGGGCCTGACTGTGCTTTTTGTAAAATTAGTGGAAGTATTGTCACCGAATTCATGAGGACAGTAGTGGGAGACAGCAGCAGCCTGTTGCTGACAGTAAAAGTTCCTCCTTCCTCAAGTCTGGGAGGCTCATTTGCAACTGGACAGTTCTTTCAAAACACTGAGAAGGCAAGAATGGCTGATTCAAAATTATTTGTGGATTTGATATGAAATCATTGTTTTCTTTGAGAGGAACCACCTCTCCAATGTTTTTTTTTTCCTGAGCTAGATTCAAAAATCTGATAATTGCATTGCTTCTCCCATTTTAGCAGTTCCCACTTCATCCTAATTCTCAGTGCTTCAGGCATTCACATGAAATGCAAGACACTCTTATCGCAGGTTGTCTTCTGCTGGGAAGACTTCAGCTATCATTTTGTTCTCCCAAGAATGAGCTGCAAGTACTAATGCTAAAAGGATATTCTGGGCATGTCTGTTGGCAACATTTATCTCTATTTTAAGGAAATACTTAAATACTTTTTGGAGCAGAGGCCCAAGTGTCATACCGTCCAGGCAGTTGTCCTGGCCAGCAGGCTTGAGAGTCATTTTTCTTTGTGTATTAAAGTATTATTCAGATATTAAAAAAAACCACCAAGACACAAAACCTTCAGGAGTGAGTGAGGAACCCTCAGTTTCAGAAAACCCCGTAGCCTGCTAGTTAGCACACACTCATGAGACGTGGACCTGACAGAAACCACCCTGCTTCATATCCCTGCTCCAGACCAAAGACCAGGTAGGATCTTGGGTCTCCTGCTTTCCCACTGGACTCTGAATGCTGGGACTTCAGATTCCCACTGATGAAGGAGTGCATTAAACTCTGCTCTGCCGTGCTTACAGCAACGAGGCACAGAGAGCTCAAGGTAAGGAAAAAGGGGCTGGTACTGGTGGAATAGTCACAGCGCTTCTGTGAATCTAGTCCTGCTCTGAGCATAAGGCTCAGACTATTTAGACGTTTTGCATTGTTTTGTTCAATTCAAAGTATGTTATGAACTTGGAGGGTTTCACTTAGATGATGGTGAATTATCATCAAAATGATCTCGGGAAGTAAGTAAAGGAGGGGACTGACACAATGTAAATGCTGTTTTGCTGTATTTTTGAAGTCAACAGTCAAACAAATCAGCGCTCCTGTGTCCCTGGCTTCATACATGTAAAACACTCCCAGAAACTCAAAAGACGACACTCGTTATTTTCTTTTAACCAAAATGTTTGCAGGAGGATACATGCTGTGTGAAGCACTCTCTTTTTTGCAAAGAACAATAAAGACAGCACAGTTGCACAGAACAAATTTGTGTCTGTTGCTGGTATGGCCTTTGTCCTGTGGCGATTGAATGATTCACTTCATGTAGGCAGAATTCTTTTCAAATGTTGCCTAAATATAACAGTATTTGACACAGTAGATGAGAAACGTCTGTTCTTTCAGCCAGACTCAGCAGTTGCGTGTGGCATAATTCCCCTGCGTTTCACTTCACATCGGTTGGAGAATTGGAGGTGTGTCCTTAAATTGCAAAGATACTCTGGTTTAATCCTCCTATTAAGTGAGAATGGCAAAACTCCCACCGACTGCAAACCCATCCTCTGTTATAATTATCAAATGTTGACTAGTTAACAGCTCTGAAAATGGGTGTATTGGATATGGCTGAGCTCTGATAGTGAGAAGGAAGAGCTTAAAAGACATTCTGGAATAAGATCACAAAATGTTTTGGTCTCTTCAGTAGAAATACTGAAGTAGGCACAACTGTTGCAAACTATTTCTGATCTTTCTGCATTCCTATTGTTTTTTCCACAGTGTTTTGGGAAAGCCCTAGATAAGGATAATTTATTTTTTTTTTCCGCTGGGATTCTATTTATAAGTTACAAGGCCAGAAGAGACTATTATGACCATTTTGCTTGACCTCTCGGGTAACAGAAGCTGTAGAACTTCCCTTAGTTAATTTGTGTTTGAAGTAGAACTTCTCTCTTAGGGACAACAAGAGATCGCAACTTCTGGGAAATCCCACCGTACCTCTTGGCAAATTATTCCAATGACTATTACCTGTTGTAAAAATGTTTTCAGAGTATGTAATTAGAGTTTGTTTAGTTTTGGCTTCCAGCCACTGGACCCTGTATTTAATAAGTCCTTTACTAAGAGTGAGTTCCCTTCATGCCAGGTATCCCGGAACATAACTGTTTCTTAAAACAGATGAATCATTTGGAGTCCTTCTGCCTACCATGTTGTCTTATTTTCTGCTCTTCCCAAGGTTTACCACAGTTACCTGATAACCACCTTAA